TTCCAAAAATAAAATTAAAATAATAAACGGAAAGAAAGGAAAAAACAAAAAACAATAATAATGAAAAGAAAAGAACAAATAAAAAAAAAAAAACCAGTCCTTCTGCTGCTGGTGCTCCTGGTGCCGCTGCTCCTACTGCTTGGGGTGGAGAGAGAGAGTTTGAACAGCCATTCTGGAGGACTGAGCTGGGATTAATGAGGGAGCCAAAGAGCCACCTGGAGTGCCGACCTGAGGGTGGTGAGGGACCCCCAGAGCCAACTGGAGGGCCAGGCTGAGGGTGGGGAGGGAGCCTGAAGAACCCTTCTGGAGCGCCAGGCTGAGGCTGGTGAGAGTGTTGGAAGAGCCGTTCTGGAGTGCTAACCTGGGGTTGGTAAGGCAGCCCAAAGAGCCATTCAGGATGGCCAAGCTTAGGGTGCTGAGGGAGCTGGAAGGATCATTCTGGATTCCTTACCTGGGTGTAGTGAGGGAGCCTAAAGAGGCTTTCTGCAGTGCTCACCTGGGGGTGGGGAGAGAGCCTGAAGAGCAATTCTGGAGGCCCAGGCTGAGGATGGTGAGCAGCCGGGGAGGGGTCATTCTGGAGGCCCAGGCTGAGGATGGTGAGCAGCCGGGGAGGGGTCATTCTGGAGGCCCAGGCTGAGGATGGTGAGCAGCCGGGGAGGGGTCATTCTGGAGGGCCAGGCCTAGGATGGTGAGCAGCAAGAGGGGTCATTCTGGAGGGCCAGGCCTAGGATGGTGAGCAGCCGGATGGGTCATTCAGGAGGCCCAGGCTGAGGATGGTGAGCAGCCGGATGGGTCATTCAGGAGGCCCAGGCTGAGGATGGCAAGCAGCAAGAGGGGTCATTCTGGAGGGCCAAGGTGGTGGTGTCCAGGAGCAGGAAGAGCCCTTTTGGTGGGGTTGGGCAACCCCCATATAGTGTGGCCTGGTCTGCCCAGTATTTCTTTTTAATGTGGCCCTATTTTGACCCTCCAGAATTTAATGAAGAACCTTGGATGCACTTTTGTTTTTTTGTTTATGTTTTTTTGTCCATGGAGGGGCAGGGCCAACAGCAAAAAAAGTTTCCAAAAAGACTGTAGAACCCTTCTTGGTCCCTGCTGCCGGCCTTCTCCTTGGTGGGAGGAAGAGCCGTGGTTGCTGCTGCTGGTGCTGCCTGTCCTGCTGGTGCTGCTGGTGCTCCTGGTGCTGCTCGCTCTTCTGCCTGAGGTGGTTCGGGAGCCTGAAGAGCCATTCTCTAGGGCTGAGCTGGCAGTGGTGAAGGACCCGAAAGAACCATGATGGAGGGCAGGGCTGGTGGTGGCAGGGCTGGACTCAGGGCAGGAGAGTGTGCTGGATTTGAAACCCTCTAGTTTCATGGCCCCCCTTCACTTGTGCGCTGGCATTGGAGACATCCACCCTCCATGCCAGGCTGGAGGTCGTGATGACCACCTCTGGTTCTGTGGTGGCAGATGTGAGAGCCAGCTCCATTGGCTCATTGGAGGTTGTGGTGGCCACCTGTGCTTGGGAGCTGGCAGATGGGACAGCCAGCTCCATTGGCACAAAGGAGGTTTTGGTGGCCACCTCCCTTGTGAGCTGGCAGATGGGACAGCCAGCTCCATTGGCACACAGGAGATTGGGGTGGCCACCTCCCCTTGTGAGCTGGCAGATGGGACAGCCAGCTTCACTTCCGTTCCTATGGTGGAGATGGCCACCCTGTGTGCCATACTAGGTGTGGAGACAGTCCCCCTTGGTGCCATGCTGGTGGCACGGACAGGCACCCTCACTGGCACATTGGTGGGTGGGCCGGTCGACCTGTTGTTTTGCTCTCCGCTGCCCGCAGCTCCAGCGTTGTGGATCGATGTTGTCTTTGTTCCGGGGAGGAGCAAGGTCTTACACGCACCGTGTGGCCTCTGTTGTTCATGTTTGTGCTGCGGAGGATTAAGTAAGTGCCCATGATATTATCGAAGGCTTTGTGGGCCACCGATTCCCTTAGCTCCTCCTGGGTGTACCCGAGGTGTTTCATTTGTTCGCTGATCTGGGGGTCGATATCACCACACAGTGGCTCACTGTGTAAGTTCACTCCCTCCTTTTGCCCTCTGTTGACCCAGGGGTCCTTTATGATGGCATCCAGGGTTGGCCTCTGGGCGGCGTCAAGGGTCAGGATGTTCTATAGAAGATGTTGGCATTCCTCCGAGAGGAAATGGGGTAGGAGGAAGTACCCTCTCAAGACCCGTCTCTTCACTTCCCAAAAGTTCTCCCCCCTCGAGCGGGAGCCTCCCGGTCACCAGCTGGTAAAGGACGACTCCGAGGCTCCAGATATCGACCCTCTGGCCGTCATAGGGCTCGCTACTCAGGATCTCCGGGGGCCATGTATGTCGCGGTCCCGCAGAAGGAGCTCTGCAGGTTATGCTTCACCTCATGTGCAAACCCGAAGTCGGCTAGCTTGACGTTGTTGTCAGAGTCCAGCAGGTTGTTTTCCGGGTTCAAATCTCTATGTACGAACATCTTTTGGTGGCAGTGATGTAAGGCAGACACCAGCTGCCTTAAGATGGTCCTGGCCTCCTCCTCATTCCGGTCCCCATGCTTTTCAAGATAATTGCATAACTCACGGCTGCTCAAGTGTTCCATTACTAGACAGAACTAATTTTTTGTGGCCATGACTTCAAACAGTCTGGTTATATTTGGATGGTTTAAGTATTTCAGCAGTGAATTTCTCTAAAACCTAGAGAGGAGCCCCGCCTGTTAATGATTTTGAGAGCCACCTCAATGCCTGTTGCAATGTGGGGGGCCAGCATGACTTTGGCAAAGGACCCTTTAACTATTGTCCTGAGGAGTAGATCGCCACCAATGCGGCACTCCTCGTCAGAGGCAGATGTAAAGTCCTCAGGCATGGGAGACTTCCCAAAAAAAAATTAAAATAATAAACGGAAAGAAAGGAAAAAACAAAAAACAATAATAATGAAAAGAAAAGAACAAATTAAAACAAAAAAACCAGTCCTTCTGCTGCTGGTGCTCCTGGTGCCGCTGCTCCTACTGCTTGGGGTGGAGAGAGAGAGTTTGAACAGCCATTCTGGAGGACTGAGCTGGGATTAATGAGGGAGCCAAAGAGCCACCTGGAGTGCCGACCTGAGGGTGGTGAGGGACCCCCAGAGCCAACTGGAGGGCCAGGCTGAGGGTAGGGGAGGGAGCCTGAAGAACCCTTCTGGAGCGCCAGGCTGAGGCTGGTGAGAGTGTTGGAAGAGCCGTTCTGGAGTGCTAACCTGGGGTTGGTAAGGCAGCCCAAAGAGCCATTCAGGATGGCCAAGCTTAGGGTGCTGAGGGAGCTGGAAGGATCATTCTGGATTCCTTACCTGGGTGTAGTGAGGGAGCCTAAAGAGGCTTTCTGCAGTGCTCACCTGGGGGTGGGGAGAGAGCCTGAAGAGCAATTCTGGAGGCCCAGGCTGAGGATGGTGAGCAGCCGGGGAGGGGTCATTCTGGAGGCCCAGGCTGAGGATGGTGAGCAGCAAGAGGGGTCATTCTGGAGGCCCAGGCTGAGGATGGTGAGCAGCCGGGGAGGGGTCATTCTGGAGGGCCAGGCCTAGGATGGTGAGCAGCAAGAGGGGTCATTCTGGAGGGCCAGGCCTAGGATGGTGAGCAGCCGGATGGGTCATTCAGGAGGCCCAGGCTGAGGATGGTGAGCAGCCGGATGGGTCATTCAGGAGGCCCAGGCTGAGGATGGCAAGCAGCAAGAGGGGTCATTCTGGAGGGCCAAGGTGGTGGTGTCCAGGAGCAGGAAGAGCCCTTTTGGTGGGGTTGGGCAACCCCATATAGTGTGGCCTGGTCTGCCCAGTATTTCTTTTTAATGTGGCCCTATTTTGACCCTCCAGAATTTAATGAAGAACCTTGGATGCACTTTTGTTTTTTGTTTATGTTTTTTGTCCATGGAGGGGCAGGGCCAACAGCAAAAAAAGTTTCCAAAAAGACTGTAGAACCCTTCTTGGTCCCTGCTGCCGGCCTTCTCCTTGGTGGGAGGAAGAGCCGTGGTTGCTGCTGCTGGTGCTGCCTGTCCTGCTGGTGCTGCTGGTGCTCCTGGTGCTGCTCGCTCTTCTGCCTGAGGTGGTTCGGGAGCCTGAAGAGCCATTCTCTAGGGCTGAGCTGGCAGTGGTGAAGGACCCGAAAGAACCATGATGGAGGGCAGGGCTGGTGGTGGCAGGGCTGGACTCAGGGCAGGAGAGTGTGCTGGATTTGAAACCCTCTAGTTTCATGGCCCCCCTTCACTTGTGCGCTGGCATTGGAGACATCCACCCTCCATGCCAGGCTGGAGGTCGTGATGACCACCTCTGGTTCTGTGGTGGCAGATGTGAGAGCCAGCTCCATTGGCTCATTGGAGGTTGTGGTGGCCACCTGTGCTTGGGAGCTGGCAGATGGGACAGCCAGCTCCATTGGCACAAAGGAGGTTTTGGTGGCCACCTCCCCTTGTGAGCTGGCAGATGGGACAGCCAGCTCCATTGGCACACAGGAGATTGGGGTGGCCACCTCCCTTGTGAGCTGGCAGATGGGACAGCCAGCTTCACTTCCGTTCCTATGGTGGAGATGGCCACCTTGTGTGCCATACTAGGTGTGGAGACAGTCCCCCTTGGTGCCATGCTGGTGGCACGGACAGGCACCCTCACTGGCACATTGGTGGGTGGGCCAGTCGACCTGTTGTTTTGCTCTCCGCTGCCCGCAGCTCCAGCGTTGTGGATCGATGTTGTCTTTGTTCCGGGGAGGAGCAAGGTCTTACACGCACCGTGTGGCCTCTGTTGTTCATGTTTGTGCTGCGGAGGATTAAGTAAGTGCCCATGATATTATCGAAGGCTTTGTGGGCCACCGATTCCCTTAGCTCCTCCTGGGTGTACCCTGAGGTGTTTCATTTGTTCGCTGATCTGGGGGTCGATATCACCACACAGTGGCTCACTGTGTAAGTTCACTCCCTCCTTTTGCCCTCTGTTGACCCAGGGGTCCTTTATGATGGCATCCAGGGTTGGCCTCTGGGCGGCGTCAAGCGTCAGGATGTTCTGTAGAAGATCTTGGCATCCTCCGAGAGGAAATGGGGTAGGAGGAAGTACCCTCTCAAGACCCGTCTCTTCACTTCCCAAAAGTTCTCCCCCTCGAACGGGAGCCTCCCGGTCACCAGCTGGTAAAGGACGACTCCGAGGCTCCAGATATCGACCCTCTGGCCGTCATAGGGCTCGCTACTCAGGATCTCCGGGGCCACGTACCACATGGTCCCACAGAATGAGGTCAGCTTGCATTTCCAAAATTCTTTGCTAAGGCTGAAATCGGCTAGCTTGACATTGTTGTCAGTGTCTAGCAGGATGTTTTCAGGTTTCAGATCTCTGTGCTTGAACCCCTTTTGGTGGCAGTGATGTAAGGTAGACACCAGCTGTCTAAAGATGGTCCTGGCCTCCTCTTCTGTCCAGGCACCATGCTTTTTCAGATGAGTGGCTAAGTCACCTCCCCTCAGGTGTTCCACAAGCAGGAAATACTCTTCTGTGTAAAGGGCTTCAAACAGTCTCACTATGTTTGGATGGCTGAAGTGTTTCAGGCAACGAAATTCTCCAAAACCTAGAGAATATTCGAACCTGTTGATGACTCCCCTACCTTCTCCTGCTGCCTTACGACTTTAATCCTGAGGGTATTCAATGGGATAAATCACTGAAATGAGAATCCCTATCTCAGGTTCAGCTTTAGGAGACGGGCATGTCTAAAAGTTTCATGGCACTGCAAAATGGTGCTGCTGGTGTTCCTGCTGCTGCTGCTGGCGCTGGTGTTGCTGGTGCTGCTGCTTCTCCTGCTGGTGCTCCTGGTGCCGCTATTCCTACTGCTTGGGGTGGAGAGAGAGTTTGAAGAGCCATTCTGGAGGACTGAGCTGGGATTAATGAGGGAGCCAAAGAGCCACCTGGAGTGCCAACCTGAGGGTGGTGAGGGACCCCCAGAGCCAACTGGAGGGCCAGGCTGAGGGTGGGGAGGGAGCCTGAAGAACCCTTCTGGAGCGCCAGGCTGAGGCTGGTGAGAGTGTTGGAAGAGCCGTTCAGGAGTGCTAACCTGGGGTTGGTAAGGCAGCCCAAAGAGCCACTCAGGATGGCCAAGCTTAGGGTGCTGAGGGAGCTGGAAGGACCATTCTGGATTCCTTACCTGGGTGTAGTGAGGGAGCCTAAAGAGGCTTTCTGCAGTGCTCACCTGGGGGTGGTGAGAGAGCCTGAAGAGCAATTCCGGAGGCCCAGGCTGAGGATGGTGAGCAGCCGGAGGGGTCAATCTGGAGGCCCAGGCTGAGGATGGTGAGCAGCTGGGGAAGGGTCATTCTGGAGGGCCAGGCCTAGGATGGTGAGCAGCAAGAGGGGTCATTCTGGAGGGCCAAGGTGCTGGTGTTCAGGGAGCAGGAAGAGACATTGTGCAGGTGTTGGGCAACCCCTCATAGTTTGGCTTTATCTCTCCAGTGTGTGTGTTTACTGTGGCCCTATTTTGACCCTCCAGAATTTAATGGGCAACCTTGCATGCACTTTCGTTTTTTCTTTATGTGTTTTGTCCATGGAGGGGCATGGCCAACAGCAGAAAAGTTTCAAAATACACTGTAGAACCCTTCTTGGTCCCTGCTGCCGGCCTTCTCCTTGGTGGGAGGAAGAGCCGTGGTTGCTGCTGCTGGTGCTGCCTGTCCTGCTGGTGCTGCTGGTGCTCCTGGTGCTGCTCGCTCTTCTGCCTGAGGTGGTTCGGGAGCCTGAAGAGCCATTCTCTAGGGCTGAGCTGGCAGTGGTGAAGGACCCGAAAGAACCATGATGGAGGGCAGGGCTGGTGGTGGCAGGGCTGGACTCAGGGCAGGAGAGTGTGCTGGATTTGAAACCCTCTGGTTTCGTGGTCCCCCTTCACTTGTCCGCTGGCGTTGGAGACATCCACCCTCCATGCCAGGCTGGAGGTCGTGATGACCACCTCTGGTTCTGTGGTGGCAGATGTGAGAGCCAGCTCCATTGGCTCACTGGAGGTTGTGGTGGCCACCTGTGCTTGGGAGCTGGCAGATGGGTCAGCCAGCTCCATTGGCACGAAGGAGGTTTTGGTGGCCACCTCCCCTTGTGAGCTGGCAGATGGGACAGCCAGCTCCATTGGCACACAGGAGATTGGGGTGGCCACCTCCCCTTGTGAGCTGGCAGATGGGACACCCAGCTTCACTTCCGTTCCTGTGGTGGAGATGGCCACCCTGTGTGCCATACTAGGTGTGGAGACAGTCCCCCTTGGTGCCATGCTGGTGGCACGGACAGGCACCCTCACTGGCACATTGGTGGGTGGGCCGGTCGACCTGTTGTTTTGCTCTCCCGCTGCCCGCAGCTCCAGCGTTGTGGATCGATGTTGTCTTTGTTCCGGGGAGGAGCAAGGTCTTACACGCACCGTGTGGCCTCTGTTGTTCATGTTTGCGCTGCGGAGGATTAAGTAAGTGCCCATGATATTATCGAAGGCTTTGTGGGCCACCGATTCCCTTAGCTCCTCCTGGGTGTACCCAAGGTGTTTCAATTTTTCGCTGATCTAGGGTTCGATATCACCACACAGTGGCGCGCTGTATAAGTTCACTGCCTCCTTTTGCCCTCCTTTTGGCAGGGGACAGGTGGTCGTGGATTTGACACTCTCTGGTTTTATGACCACCTTCACTTCTCCACTGGTGGTGGAGACACCCACCCTCCGTTCCACACCGGTGCTTGGGATGGCCTCCTCTGCTTCTGTGCTGGCTGATGGGACAGCCAAAATCACTTCCAAACTGGGGGTCGGGATGGCCAACGACACTTCTGTGCTGGCTGATGGGACAGCCAAATTCACTTCCAAACTGGTGGCAGGGATGGCCACCTTCTTTGCCACACAGGTGGTGGAGAGAGTCCCACTTGCTGCCACGCCAGTGGTAGGGACGGCCACCCTCACTGCCACGTTGATGGGCAGATTGGTAGATTTACTAGTTTTCTCTCCTGCCGGCTGCAGCTCCTGGGCTGTGGAAAGATGTCTTCCTTGATCAGGGAAGTGGTAGGGCCTTACTTGTACTGTATGGCATCTGGTCTTCATTTTGGTGCTATGGAGGGTTCAATATGTAGCCATAATGCTGTTGTATTTGGGGGCCATGGATTCCTTTATGTCTTCCTGGCCAAACACCAGATTTTTCATTTTATTGGTGACCTGGGAGTTGACACCACCCCAGGGTGGCTCACAGCATAACTTCATTCCCTCACTCTGGTCTATATTGACCAGGGCTCCTTTATAATAGTGTCCAGAGTTGGCCTCTGGGCGGGTTCAAGGGTAATCACTTTTCTTCACACATGGTGACATTCTTCAGAGACAAATTAGGGTACAAAGAAGTGCCCTGTCTATGTCTGTGTCTTCACCTCCCCAAAGTTCTGACCCATGAACGGGAGCCTCCCCGTCACAATCTGATCAAGGATGACGCCGAGGCTCCAGGTGTCCACCTTTGGGCCGTCATACGGTCAGCTCCTCAGGACCTCTGGGGCCGTACATGAAACAGTATCCCAGAAAGTACTGAGTCCGTTGTCTGAAAAGTCTTTGCCGAGCCGAAATCAGCTAGTTTGACATTGTGATCAGCATCTAGGAGGATGTTCTCCAGCTTAAGGTCTACAAGTACGAAGCCCTTCTGGTGAACAGAGTGTAACGCAGACTCGAGTTGTCTGAACAGGGTCCGGGCCCTCCTCTTCCCTACGGGCACCAGGATTCTCAAAATAATCAAAGAATGGGCCATTGCTCATGTGTTCCATGAGCAAAAACATACTGGTCTTGCATGGCAATGGCTTCAAACAGTTTGGTGATGCTCTGATGGTTTAAGCTTTCCAGCAGTGAAATTCTCTAAAACCTGGAGAGGAGCCCCGCCTGTTGACGATTTTCACTGCTACCTCGGTGCCTGTTACAAAGTGCTGGGCCAGCGTAACCCTCACAAAGGACCCCATGCCGATTTTGCTCAGTGGGACTCAGCCTCCAACATGACACTCCTGTCAGGGGTGACGATAAAGTCCCCAGAGGGGTTGGGCAGCCTCATGCAGCTTGGCTTGAACTTCCCAGTATACTGTGGCCATACGTTGGCCATCCGCATTTAAGAAATAATCTTGGGTGGACTTCTGTCCCTTTGTGATGTTCCTTGAGGCTGGAGGGGAATGGCAGACAGCAGAAAACTTGGCGTGAAGAACGGCAGGGCCCTTTCAGGTGCCCACTGGAGGCCTTCGCTGTGGTGGGAAGAAGAGCCTTGGGTGCTGCTGCTGGTGCTGCTGCTGCTGCTGCTGCTGCTCCTGCTCGTGGTGCTGCTCTTTCTGCTGCCTAAGCTGGAGAGGAAGCCTGAAGAGCAATTCTGTAGGGCTGAGCTGGCAGTGGTGAAGGACCCCAGGAAACCATGATGGGGGTGGCAGGGCTGCAGGTGGCAGGGCTGGACTCAGGGCAGGAGAGTGTGCTGGATTTGAAATCCTCTGGTTTCGTGGTCCCCTTCACTTGTCCGCTGGCGTTGGAGACATCCACCCTCCATGCCAGGCTGGAGGTCGTGATGACCACCTCTGGTTCTGTGGTGGCAGATGTGAGAGCCAGCTCCATTGGCTCACTGGAGGTTGTGGTGGCCACCTGTGCTTGGGAGCTGGCAGATGTGACAGCCAGCTCCATTGGCACAAAGGAGGTTAGGGTGGCCACCCCCCCTTGTGAGCTGGCAGATGGGACAGCCAGCTTCACTTCCGTTCCTGTGGTGGAGATGGCCACCCTGTGTGCCATACTAGGTGTGGAGACAGTCCCCCTTGGTGCCATGCTGGTGGCACGGACAGACACCCTCACTGGCACATTGGTGGGTGGGCCGGTCGACCTGTTGTTTTGCTCTCCGCTGCCCGCAGCTCCAGCGTTGTGGATCGATGTTGTCTTTGTTCCGGGGAGGAGCAAGGTCTTACACGCACCGTGTGGCCTCTGTTGTTCATGTTTGTGCTGCGGAGGATTAAGTAAGTGCCCATGATATTATCGAAGGCTTTGTGGGCCACCGATTCCCTTAGCTCCTCCTGGGTGTACCCGAGGTGTTTCATTTGTTCGCTGATCTGGGGGTCGATATCACCACACAGTGGCTCGCTGTATAAGTTCACTCCCTCCTTTTGCCCTCTGTTGACCCAGGGGTCCTTCATGATGGCATCCAGGGTTGGCCTCTGGGCGGGGTCGAGGGTCAGGATGTTCTGTAGAAGATGTTGGCATTCCTCCGAGAGGAAATGGGGTAGGAGGAAGTACCCTCTCAAGACCCGTCTCTTCACTTCCCCGAAGTTCTCCCCCTTGAAGGGGAACCTCCCCGTCACCAGCTGGTAAAAGCTGATATCACACTGACACTCCAAATGTCGACCCTCACGCGGTCTTAGGGCTTGCCCCTCAGAGTCTCTGGGGCCATGTACGTTGCGGTCCCGCAGAAGGAGCTCAGCAGGTTGTGTTTTTCCTCCTTCGTAAAGCCAAAATCGGCTAGCTTCACATTTTTGTCAGAGTCCAGCAGGATGTTTTCCGGCTTCAAATCTCTATGTACAAACCCCTTTTGGTGGCAGTGATGTAAGGCAGACACCAGCTGCCTAAAGATGGTCCTGGCCTCCTCTTCCGTCCGGGCACCATGTTTTTCAATATAGTTGGATAACTCACCGCCGCTCATGTGTTCCATCACTAGACATAATTCATTTTCTGTCGCCATGACTTCAGACAGTTTCGTTATGTTGGGATGGTTGAGGTTCTTTAAGCAGTGAATTTCTCTGAAAGCCAGAGAGGAGCCCCGCCTGCTGATGATTTTTACTGCCACCTCGGTGCCTGTTGCAATGTGGCGGGCCAGCATGACTTTGGCAAAGGACCCTTTACCTATTGTCCTGAGGACTACATAGCCACCAATGCGGCACTCCTTGTCAGAGGCGGATGTAAAGTCCTCAGGCATGGTGACTTCAAAAAATAAATTAAAATAATAAACTGAAAGAAAGGAAAAAACAAAAAACAATAATAATGAAAAGAAAAGAACAAATTAAAAAAAAACAAAACTGGTCCTTCTGCTGCTGGTGCTCCTGGTGCCGCTGCTCCTACTGCTTGGGGTGGAGAGAGAGTTTGAACAGCCATTCTGGAGGACTGAGCTGGGATTAATGAGGGAGCCAAAGAGCCACCTGGAGTGCCGACCTGAGGGTGGTGAGGGACCCCCAGAGCCAACTAGAGGGCCAGGCTGAGGGTGGGGAGGGAGCCTGAAGAACCATTCTGGAGCGCCAGGCTGAGGCTGGTGAGAGTGCTGGAAGAGCCGTTCTGGAGTGCTAACCTGGGGTTGGTAAGGCAGCCCAAAGAGCCATTCAGGGTGGCCAAGTTTAGGGTGCTGAGGGAGCTGGAAGGACCATTCTGGATTCCTTACATGGGTGTAGTGAGGGAGCCTAAAGAGCCTTTCTGCAGTGCTCACCTGGGGGTGGGGAGAGAGCCTGAAGAGCAATTCTGGAGGCCCAGGATGAGGATGCTAAGCAGCCGGAGGGGTCATTCTGGAGGCCCAGGCTGAGGATGGTGAGCAGCAAGAGCGGTCATTCTGGAGGGTGCGGCTGATGATGGTGAGCAGCCGGAGGGGTCATTCTGGAAGGCCAAGGTGGTGGTGTTCAGGGAGCAGGAAGAGCCATTGTGCAGGAGTTGGGCAACCCCTCATAGTCTGGCTTTCTCTCTCCAGTATGTGTGTTTACTGTGGCCCTATTTTGACCCTCCAGAATTTAATGGGCAACCTTGCATGCACTTTTGTTTTTTCTTTATGTGTTTTGTCCATGGAGGGGCATGGCCAACAGCAGAAAAGTTTCAAAATACACTGTAGAACCCTTCTTGGTCCCTGCTGCCGGCCTTCTCCTTGGTGGGAGGAAGAGCCGTGGTTGCTGCTGCTGGTGCTGCCTGTCCTGCTGGTGCTGCTGGTGCTCCTGGTGCTGCTCGCTCTTCTGCCTGAGGTGGTTCGGGAGCCTGAAGAGCCATTCTCTAGGGCTGAGCTGGCAGTGGTGAAGGACCCGAAAGAACCATGATGGAGGGCAGGGCTGGTGGTGGCAGGGCTGGACTCAGGGCAGGAGAGTGTGCTGGATTTGAAACCCTCTGGTTTCGTGGTCCCCTTCACTTGTCCGCTGGCGTTGGAGACATCCACCCTCCATGCCAGGCTGGAGGTCGTGATGACCACCTCTGGTTCTGTGGTGGCAGATGTGAGAGCCAGCTCCATTGGCTCACTGGAGGTTGTGGTGGCCACCTGTGCTTGGGAGCTGGCAGATGTGACAGCCAGCTCCATTGGCACAAAGGAGGTTACGGGTGGCCACCCCCCTTGTGAGCTGGCAGATGGGACAGCCAGCTTCACTTCCGTTCCTGTGGTGGAGATGGCCACCCTGTGTGCCATACTAGGTGTGGAGACAGTCCCCCTTGGTGCCATGCTGGTGGCACGGACAGACACCCTCACTGGCACATTGGTGGGTGGGCCGGTCGACCTGTTGTTTTGCTCTCCGCTGCCCGCAGCTCCAGCGTTGTGGATCGATGTTGTCTTTGTTCCGGGGAGGAGCAAGGTCTTACACGCACCGTGTGGCCTCTGTTGTTCATGTTTGTGCTGCGGAGGATTAAGTAAGTGCCCATGATATTATCGAAGGCTTTGTGGGCCACCGATTCCCTTAGCTCCTCCTGGGTGTACCCGAGGTGTTTCATTTGTTCGCTGATCTGGGGGTCGATATCACCACACAGTGGCTCGCTGTATAAGTTCACTCCCTCCTTTTGCCCTCTGTTGACCCAGGGGTCCTTCATGATGGCATCCAGGGTTGGCCTCTGGGCGGGGTCGAGGGTCAGGATGTTCTGTAGAAGATGTTGGCATTCCTCCGAGAGGAAATGGGGTAGGAGGAAGTGCCCTCTCAAGACCCGTCTCTTCACTTCCCCGAAGTTCTCCCCCTTGAAGGGGAACCTCCCCGTCACCAGCTGGTAAAAGCTGATATCACACTGACACTCCAAATGTCGACCCTCACGCGGTCTTAGGGCTTGCCCTCAGAGTCTCTGGGGCCATGTACGTCGCGGTCCCGCAGAAGGAGCTCAGCAGGTTGTGCTTTTTCCTCCTTCGTAAAGCCAAAATCGGCTAGCTTCACATTTTTGTCAGAGTCCAGCAGGATGTTTTCCGGCTTCAAATCTCTATGTACGAAACCCCTTTTGGTGGCAGTGATGTAAGGCAGACACCAGCTGCCTAAAGATGGTCCTGGCCTCCTCTTCCGTCCGGGCACCATGTTTTTCAATATAGTTGGATAACTCACCGCCGCTCATGTGTTCCATCACTAGACATAATTCATTTTCTGTCGCCATGACTTCAGACAGTTTCGTTATGTTGGGATGGTTGAGGTTCTTTAAGCAGTGAATTTCTCTGAAAGCCAGAGAGGAGCCCCGCCTGCTGATGATCTTTACTGCCACCTCGGTGCCTGTTGCAATGTGGCGGGCCAGCATGACTTTGGCAAAGGACCCTTTCCCTATTGTCCTGAGGAGTAGATCGCCACCAATGCGGCACTCCTCGTCAGAGGCAGATGTAAAGTCCTCAGGCATGGGAGACTTCCAAAAATAAAATTAAAATAATAAACGGAAAGAAAGGAAAAAACAAAAAACAATAATAATGAAAAGAAAAGAACAAATTAAAAAAAAAAAAACCAGTCCTTCTGCTGCTGGTGCTCCTGGTGCCGCTGCTCCTACTGCTTGGGGTGGAGAGAGAGAGTTTGAACAGCCATTCTGGAGGACTGAGCTGGCATTAATGAGGGAGCCAAAGAGCCACCTGGAGTGCCAACCTGAGGGTGGTGAGGGACCCCCAGAGCCAACTGGAGGGCCAGGCTGAGGGTGGGGGGGGAGCCTGAAGAACCCTTCTGGAGCGCCAGACTGAGGCTGGTGAGAGTGCTGGAAGAGCCGTTCTGGAGTGCTAACCTGGGGTTGGTAAGGCAGCCCAAAGAGCCATTCAGGGATGGCCAAGCTTAGGGTGCTGAGGGAGCTGGAAGGACCATTCTGGATTCCTTACCTGGGTGTAGTGAGGGAGCGTAAAGAGGCTTTCTGCAGTGCTCACCTGGGGCTGGTGAGAGAGCCTGAAGAGCAATTCTGGAGGCCCAGGCTGAGGATGGTGAGCAGCCGGAGGGGTCATTCTGGAGGCCCAGGCTGAGGATGGTGAGCAGCCGGGGAGGGGTCATTCTGGAGGGCCAGGCCTAGGATGGTGAGCAGCCGGATGGGTCATTCAGGAGGCCCAGGCTGAGGATGGTGAGCAGCCGGATGGGTCATTCAGGAGGCCCAGGCTGAGGATGGCAAGCAGCAAGAGGGGGTCATTCTGGAGGGCCAAGGTGGTGGTGTCCAGGAGCAGGAAGAGCCCTTTTGGTGGGGTTGGGCAACCCCATATAGTGTGGCCTGGTCTGCCCAGTATTTCTTTTTTAATGTGGCCCTATTTTGACCCTCCAGAATTTAATGAAGAACCTTGGATGCACTTTTGTTTTTTTGTTTATGTTTTTTGTCCATGGAGGGGCAGGGCCAACAGCAAAAAAGTTTCCAAAAAAGACTGTAGAACCCTTCTTGGTCCCTGCTGCCGGCCTTCTCCTTGGTGGGAGGAAGAGCCGTGGTTGCTGCTGCTGGTGCTGCCTGTCCTGCTGGTGCTGCTGGTGCTCCTGGTGCTGCTCGCTCTTCTGCCTGAGGTGGTTCGGGAGCCTGAAGAGCCATTCTCTAGGGCTGAGCTGGCAGTGGTGAAGGACCCGAAAGAACCATGATGGAGGGCAGGGCTGGTGGTGGCAGGGCTGGACTCAGGGCAGGAGAGCGTGCTGGATTTGAAACCCTCTGGTTTCATGGCCCCCTTCACTTGTCCGCTGGCGTTGGAGACATCCACCCTCCATGCCAGGCTGGAGGTCGTGATGACCACCTCTGGTTCTGTGGTGGCAGATGTGAGAGCCAGCTCCATTGGCTCATTGGAGGTTGTGGTGGCCACCTGTGCTTGGGAGCTGGCAGATGGGACAGCCAGCTCCATTGGCACGAAGGAGGTTTTGGTGGCCACCTCCCCTTGTGAGCTGGCAGATGGGACAGCCAGCTCCATTGGCACACAGGAGATTGGGGTGGCCACCTCCCCTTGTGAGCTGGCAGATGGGACAGCCAGCTTCGCTTCCGTTCCTATGGTGGAGATGGCCACCCTGTGTGCCATACTAGGTGTGGAGACAGTCCCCCTTGGTGCCATGCTGGTGGCACGGACAGGCACCCTCACTGACACATTGGTGGGTGGGCCGGTCGACCTGTTGTTTTGCTCTCCCGCTGCCCGCAGCTCCAGCGTTGTGGATCGATGTTGTCTTTGTTCCGGGGAGGAGCAAGGTCTTACACGCACCGTGTGGCCTCTGTTGTTCATGTTTGCGCTGCGGAGGATTAAGTAAGTGCCCATGATATTATCGAAGGCTTTGTGGGCCACCGATTCCCTTAGCTCCTCCTGGGTGTACCCGAGGTGTTTCATTTGTTCGCTGATCTGGGGGTCGATATCACCACACAGTGGCTCACTGTGTAAGTTCACTCCCTCCTTTTGCCCTCTGTTTACCCAGGGGTCCTTTATGATGGTATCCAGGGTTGGCCTCTGGGCGGCGTCAAGGGTCAGGATGTTCTGTAGAAGATGTTGGCATTCCTCCGAGAGGAAATGGGGTAGGAGGAAGTACCCTCTCAAGACCCGTCTCTTCACTTCCCAAAAGTTCTCCCCCTTGAACGGGAGCCTCCCGGTCACCAGCTGGTAAAGGACTACTCCGAGGCTCCAGATATCGACCCTCTGGCCGTCATAGGGCTCGCTACTCAGGATCTCCGGGGCCACGTACCACATGGTCCCACAGAATGAGGTCAGCTTGCATTTCCAAAATTCTTTGCTAAGGCCGAAATCGGCTAGCTTGACATTGTTGTCAGTGTCTAGCAGGATGTTTTCAGGTTTCA